TGAGTATATCATTTTTACTACACTTTACAACGAACAAAATGTTAAATAAGGTAGATAACAATACTTGCTCAAGAATCGTGCGTTTTTCCTTGGTTTGTAGAAATCTAAAACAATACAACAACAACAGTACGATAATACATGTATTTATTTTTAATATGACAACACTTCATAAATAAGTATTATTGGAAATAGTATTACTTGCTTGTTCGGCTATTTTTAATTTACTTAAAAAATTTTTATATGTTTAATTTACAATAATAATATATTAAGTGCTTATTATTGGAAAATATAAAAAAGACATTTAATTAGGCCGATACAAATGACGACAATGCCATCTATGAAAGCATTTTGAAAACATTGAGCCCCATATTAGCACTGATTAAAGTGTAATTAAGTACTGGAAAATAACAAAATGAGTAAATATATGAAAATTACTTTTCTAAACGCATTATTTCATTTTAACATGTATATATAACTTTTTAAAAATTGATTAAACATTTTTGAAAACACAGTTTTGTTTTTTAAAACGTTTGCAAAACTATGAAGAATTCCATCGATACCAATCACGCCATCTATATGCAACTTTTAGCAATAATAATGGCTACTTCCTCATTGAGTGCCACTGGTTTGTAGAAATCTAAAACAATACAACAACAACAGTACGAGTGGCAAGATGTGTCTATTTCATCCGCAATATTACATAATACTTAGTCGAAAAAAGGAAGTTTACTCTATTGCGATAACGTTAGCAAATAGGCGTAGTTACTAGTGTTATCACAGTGTGTTATTTTTCAAGGATTTTAACGTGTTAGTATATTGTGCCTACACTTGTAATATTTCTGTCGCCATTTGAGACCCTTCCAATAGTTTACTGCTCCATTAACATAGATTTAAGTTCAGTGTAAAGTTAGTCTACGTCCCGACTCCGCGTCGACTCTACGCGTTACTAATAAGCCATGCAATACTGACTAATGTATAATAAATAGTACAATTATTTCATCGATATACTCACTACCTACATACTAGTTTCATGATATATTGAAATATTTATGAGTCAATACCTAAAAGTGGGCTCCCGTGTCCTTTTCGGCGGCTTCCTTAATATTTATGTTGGTATACCAAGTGAAAAAACGTAATCATACATTTTACAAGTATATACAGTAAATAATATGTTATGTAGCGGCACCTCATAACATAATATATAACGCTACAGTAATGAGTATAAACACCGTGCTATACTATGTATATCGAGTAGTCATGAAAATGTATTTCAACCTGAAAGAATATCGTGAATGAATTTAATACGCACTGTCTAAGAATGGAACATACTTTTCTCTTTGCAGCTTTCGTCGTCACGGAGAAATATAACCCCAGATTTTTTAAGTCTATGTTGAATAGATTTCTTCTCAGTAAGCGCGTACATCCTAGGTCTTGCCATCCTTTACCATTAGATGAGGTAAGACCAATCGGAAACCAATCCATAATAATAATAAAAATATATATCTTTAACTATATAAGGGATGATAATGGAATGATCTCTCACTCAGGCGCTAACGATATACCCTGACGGGGCACCAGTGAAGGATTATAAGATGAGCATAAGGTCTGGTCAATTAGCCTATCGAGGCAAATTAATCAAGAATTAAACATGATGGTATCCAGGGGCAACCGCGTGAAGGTTAACCCGATATGGTACATTCCTAACAATGTGATTAATCCACATTATTTACAAACACTTTATCCCAGTTTATTAATCTATATTTTCTATCAAATCAATTGAAAATTAAAAGTGATTTATCTTATATATAAAATTCTCGTGTCACAGTTTTCGTTCCCATACTCCTCCGAAACGGCTTGACCGATTCTCATGAAATTTTGTGAGCGTATTGAGTAGGTCTGAGAATCGGCCAACATCTATTTTTCATCCCCCTACATGTTAGGGGTAGTCCAACCCTAATTTTTTTTTTTTATTTTAATGCAAAACAACGTTTTCTGGTACATCTAGTTTATGTATAAAATTTTAACCGCTTATTTCATTATGAATCTATTTTACTTTATCTAAATAATTTATTACTTTATTTACTTTAGCTATTTCTACCCTACCTATTTCAGCCGTCAAGCAACTTACTTTAAGCTGTATTCCAATTTTTAAGGAAATTTGTATTTGAGAAATGAGTTTTTGCAAAGGCATTACCACACTTGTCTAGAATAGTAGCTGAGAGACGCCATGTTCGTTACGTGATGTTCATATTGCAACTAAATGTGTATCTGGTACACTATTAGATTTCTTGTCATTATAGATACTTAAAAAAAATCCGTTTGAAGTTCTGGAAGAAATGTTTTTAGAACTTTCAACTGAGAATCTCCATTAGTCGAAACTTACTCTAGTTTCGACTATTCTTTCATTAATAGAGTTTAAAATTAAACTTGTGTATAATTAAAATGCTACCACCGGTCCCGAATAAGAATTTGGATTAAAAGAATCGGCCTGATATTTTTCGATCGGGCGCCATTTTAATCCGCCATTATCGGAACCAGGGCAGGTCGGTGCTATATAAATGCTGACCGATCGTGATAACAGTATATCTATAGATATAGATAGATATCGTTATCTCACTAAAGATATCACAGATAAAAAATTCTTATAAGGAAATAAAATATTATGAACGTGGAAGTTTGTGAGTATGGATGTATGGATGTTTGTTATTCTTTCACGCAAAAACTACTGAATGGTCTTTTACAATAATATAGAATATATATCAGAATGACACATAGGCTGTATATTTTATGCGGATGAAACCGCGGGCACAGCTAGTAAGGAAATAAAACTTCTTGATGATGATCGTAGTGATTAATTAAATACTACTACTATTATAGGTGTATAGAGTAATACATACTAATAATAGTAACTCCGGACAATTCCCACAGTTCCATCTAGCCCCATGGTAAGCAGAGCTTGTGTTATGGGTACTACACAACTGTGATACAAATACTTAGATTTTTTTCTGTTGTAAATAAGTAGTATATAATATACATAAAAAACACCCAAACTGATACAAACAATCGTACTCGTGAATACAAATATTTATACTGTGCGAGGAATCGAATCCGCGACCGTCGAATTTAGCGGTGTACTAAACCGCTAGACCACCGAGATTTTTAAATGTAATGTAAGTACACTAAAAAATTTTTTTAGTGTACTTACATTACATTTAAAAATCTTTAACTTCTACTAAAGCGTTCCAAACGTGTGGTAGAATAAAAAAAAATTTCAAAAGTACTTATATTAAGTTTTATTTCATTTATTTGAATTTATTATTTATTTATTCTTATTTCATTTATTTTACTACATGGCCGTACTGCAGAGTTATAGACAAGCAGTAGAGTTGTAGACCAAATGTATGTAAGTGTGTATTTAATTATAGGAGCCAACAGAATATCAGCGCTGCAGACTATCTGTAGCTTCATGCTGAGTTGGTTACCTCTTCATCATTTCAACACATAAAGCCAGCTCCATTTTTTAATTTGTAATATTTATATTCCTTCATTTTTAATTTGTAAACTTTATTTCTATTTATAAAATGTATCTAATGTATGCTATGTGTTTGTAATTGTTGAATAAAGAACTTATCTATATATTTATCAAATCATTCTCATGTTATTTATTAGTGTACTAGTACCCAGGGCCTATATATCTTTATATAGTATCATAGTATCTTTGTATTTATCTAGTAAACTTTGAACATTTACGTATAATGTGCTTTATTTAGATCACGAAGTCAGTAGGCATGTCGAGATGACCTTGACATCATGGCCATTCTGTTTTTTTTTGCGTTTCATACGTTCATACCTACGTAATTCCACGTTGTAGCCTCTGATTAATTATACAATAACTCATTTTGTATAAACAAAAAAGTTTTTTATGTTAACCTAAAATACACGGAAGACCAAATATATTTATTTAAAAACCAAATAAACCGATACGATGAATGAAACGATTTTAATGAAATTTCAATGAAACTAACACAAGTCACGGGAACTGCTCGGAGTTTCCGTCTCTGCCACACGATGGAAACGGCACCCGCACGGAGAATCCATGGAATGCTAAGATCGTCTCTTCAAATAAAAAAAAGTTTCTAAAATTTCCAACATAACAAGAATGAGAAATAAAAATAACCGAATCGAGCATGTTCTTATTTTTTTTTTAAGTGGGAACATTAAATAGTGTTCAGGACTGAAATCAAACTTTCTAATGTCATTAAATTAGATAATGTTGTATTTAATCGTAACATTGAAGTGTCTACTAATAATTATATTTAAATTAAGTATCACGTGTTTAAATCTTTTCAACCTACTGCGCAATAGTATAGCGAGCACAGACTGTCTACGAAAATGTCTGACGCTCGAACGAAACAATGTGGCGGAAATAATGGCCCAAGTGGAACTAAAACACCAGTAATTTTGTCCACTGTAATTACTTTATTGTACTGCTCGCTGCTGCATCTGATTGATAACGGTCGTCTCAGTTTCGATCTAGTTTTTTACTATCTCATTTTCTTGTTGCAGGTAAAAAACGGCGGTGCCAAAGATAGCGTAAGCAAAAAAAAATATTTATTTTACTTGACTTTTTCTAATGATTTTAGGCACATGAATCACTTTTTGTCACTGTATTTATTATACTAATATTATATTTAAATATTGCGCAGGTTTTATCTCTTCCCTAAACACTTTACAACCTACTTAGAGACTTTAATTTCCTTCCATAATACTTTACTTGCATTTCAGTGCGCACTAACATCTAGGAATCACATTCTTCCGATACGTCGAACCATTCTTTTAACATTAATGAACACGTCCACCACGTCGACTGTCTCCGGCGCGACTGCCGCGAAGTTCATTCAACAGGCCGAGAGGATGTGGGCGGGGCGTGCGGGGCGCGGCGTCATTGGCCGGCCGCCAGCCGCGCCATGATGGCCGCCGCCGCATTCGACCAATGAGCGGCGCGCGAGCCGTACGCGCGTCCGTGCGGCGACTGACGCGACGTTGCTAGCTTTTCAGAAAAAAATACCAGATTCGACCTTCTTAGGACCCCGGTTTTTTTTTGTTTGGCCGCGTTATCATTCGGGAACGTGTATTGGGGTCCTTATCCGTTAGTGAGATGGTGTTGCTCGTTCGCAGGTGGACTATACGTGTAGTGTTTTAGTGATATGGTGTGGTCTACTCCTTCGGGGGAGGTGTTGATAGACATCGTAACAAGGTAGCTATGTGTACTATATACCTCCGGTTGACTCATGTAGCGACGTGGCCGCGGTGACTGCCTCGTGGTGACCCGGTGGCGTGTTCGATCCGTGTTCGTGGTTACTGTACTAGTAATTCCAACTGGAGTTCATGTATTTGTAGTTTATTTACTTGGCTATAAATGAGGGATCTATTTACTATTAATCTTATTACAGAATTACCTGTCTGTATGTCTATTAAGCTACAATGTTAGTGTTGTTTATAGTTGCCTAGATCTATACCTAGGTACTTGACATCAATATGGCTTCCTACCTATGAATGTAGGTAGGTAGTACACACTTACGATGCAACTAACCGGGTTAGTCATATATACTAAACTCACTACTAACTAGAAACTCATTTGATACGTTATTTATAAATATTTCACTAACTTTATTTATATAGGTCTTTCATAACAACTGAACGCTTTTGAATTAAGGAAAATGGGACGACATGGAATGTGATTTTTTTATAGAAACCTCAGTTGGTATGATACGTAGAAAATTTTCATATGATTTTAGTTTGAATTTATTTTAGATTCTAAATGTTTCTAATATAAACTGTAATATAATAGTGTATATTGCGTATTTATTCGTATACCAAGATTTCACTTACTGAAAAACATTTTATGAGTACCACAACTAATGAACTAGTTAATAACAATAAGGTAGGTATATATGTATGTATATATAGTTATTTTGTTTTAATATGATAATTGGACTATACGATATACCCTGATGCCTAAAAATTATATAAATCTATTATGAGAGGAAATTGTAATTTCTGTCTAATTAAGAATATAGGTCGAAAGAATAGTTCATAACATATCGACCTACATTAGTGTAAACTAGCTGATACCCGCTACTTCGTCTGCATAGATGTAGTAGTTAAAGCAAACTTCAAGTTATCTTACATCCTCCTAAAATTTCATTTTCCTGATAAAACTTAGTTCATATCGGGAAGGTCCAAATTGGATAAAAAATTTACTTAGTCACACTTTGTCACCTTAAATCGCAGCTAAAACGAACTGTGATTTAAGGTCACAAAGACAGTCAGACATATTTTTCCCATTTATAATGTTAGTATGGACTTAGCGTTATTGTGATAATAGATAAGAGAATATATAAATAATAAGAGAATATAAAACAAAACATTATTCTCTCTGTTTACCCCATAAGAAATATAAAGATAGAAAATAAAAAAATAAGAAATAATATCTTTAAATTATATTTGCATGATAAACCGTAGCTCAAGTCAGTAAGGTCTAAAATTTATAAAAAAATTACTTAGTTTAGCTGTGAATAGGTGATAAAGGCATTCAGACAGATTTTCCAATTTATAACTAATTCAGCGTTATTATGAAAAAGAGAAAAAATAAACATTAAACTCTCTATTTACCCCATAAGAGATTTGAAGTTAGAAATTTTACTTACGTTTAGTAAAAAGGAAAATAATAATAAAAACTGTCTCTAACTATAAATACTAAAATTACGACTGTATCTGACTGACTGAGTAATGGATGATAATGGAATAGTGCACCGGCCTGCGTTAACGGTATACGCTGACGGGGAACCAGTGGAGGATGATAATCTTATCCTGCCCTGGTTCCCCGTGGAGGATGATAAGATTGCTATTATATTGCACGATGGGCTAACTGACCTGATGATGGGCTAACTGACCTGACCTCGTATTCATCTGAACATTAGGTCAGGTCAGTTAGCCCATCGTGGCAAATTCACCAGGAATTTATGACGATATTTTCAGGTCAACCTGTCATATGGTACATTTTTAGTAATGGGGTTATTTTAGTCCATATTATCAACAACCCTTTTCCCTCTCTCTGGTGGGGTAGATAGTCAGACATTGTCAAATATCATCATGATGTAGGTACTCAACATTAGACATGGGGGGGGGGGGGGGCGTGAGAGCAGTGCTACAACCATATTATCAACAACTCTTTTCCCCCTCTCAGGTGGTGTAGATAGTCAGTCAAATATCATTATGATGTAGGTACTCAACACTAGGCATGGGGTGGGGGGAGTACTGCTACAAATGTAAATAATGCCTTTTCACACCACTCGCCATCGACAGGGAACTCATCCCAACACGCTAGAACCTAGGTCTCGGACAGTGCTCTTCATCAGAGGAACTTCCTCCCGCGTACACTTCTGGTAGACGTATAGGTAAAAGTAGGTGAATTAAAGTTTCTTAAGTTCTCAGTTCTTCTCATCTCACAATCATTCTGAACTAACGATACATTTGACATATCATAAGAGTCTGTAATAGACCTATATGAATAACGATATTTTTAATTTGAATTAAGTGTTTGCAACGGACACTTGACACCCCGTGTTTTAGGCGTCTATAAGTTACGGTAACTGTTTAAACATCAGACCCTATACTTTTTTGCTCATCATCATCATCATCTCAGCCCGTAAGACGTCCACTGTTAAACAAAGGCCTCCCCCAAAGATTTCCCCAACGATCGGTCCTTGGATCCAATTGGGGATATTGCTATAATCGCCACGCTTGGCATGGGGGTTGGTGATCGCAGTGTGATGGTAGTCACTCAGTAGAACGCTGCTGCCCGTCCACTGGTCGATGGATCCCTTAGTCGCCTTTTACGACACCCACGGGATAGGGTGGTGCGATTCTTACGGCGGTACCACACGCACATTTGCTATCAACGTGGTATAGAAACATGGACATTATTTATTACATCCCCCCTCCCCCTACCCCTTCCTAACCCCCGTAAAGTAGATATTTATCAATCCCGTGATTACGTTTGTAATACCTAGATTCAGTGCACGTTATCGACATGTTGTCACTTGTCTATAAATATATTATGAAGGTCAAGGCTGATGTTGAAGTTCTAGGTGAAAGACACCTACTATGGAACTCTACCTAGGTATATGTAGTACGTATGCACGTGGCATTGTAACATCCAGAACACTAGTTCTGCCCGCGACTTTGTCCGCGTGGAATAGCCGACGAATGACGAATTTCTACGCAAACTCTCATTACCATTTGCCCCCTTTAGGGTAAACTATTTATAAACTTTCTATATCATATTTATTGTATCTATTTTAATCAACAGCCTAAACAATTAATTTCAAGAGTTAAAAATGACGATACTTCCAAACATCCTTTCATCTTCATTTTCAATACCTCACAACTCTTTTTTGCATTAAAAAGTAGCCTATATCCATTCATAGGGTCTATACTATCTGTGTACCAAATTTAATTAAAATCGGTTTAGTAGTTTTGGCGTGAAAGCGCCACAGACAGACAGAGTTACTTTCAGATTTATAATACTTAAGAGGAAGTAAGGATAATTCTGGTTTCCAGCTAAATACAGGCTACAGACCTTGTCTAGGGGGGTGGAGATTGTTTCGGATACTGGTCACCAGCTATTGTTACCAATTTATTTAGTATACAATTAATAATAATAGGATACTGAAACAACTTTCAAGAATAATTACGAAACCAAAAAAAAAAAAAATTTGTAGTATATTGCAATCGGTTGTGTTACAAACATAACTGTGAAGATACATTACAAGTAATCTTTAATAAAATAGAAATGATCTCAATTCAAATAAATTTAAAATAAGCATTTAAAATAGTCATAATTTTTTATTCTACAACTCATTCCGAACGCCGACTCATCACAAGACGAATGAGCAAGAGTTTTGCGTGTTGCTCATTTAAATAAATGTTTAGAATTACATTTTTATGATTTTGTGTACCTAAATATAAACTGCCAAATAGCAAAATTGTCATATGTAAATGAATAGTTACTTAAGTAACAAAATAAATCAGTCATACTTATAAGACCAGACCAATCCTTACAAGCAAAAATTAATTTATTATGCAAAAAAAAAAATGGAACTATACTAATATTATAAATGTGGAGGTATGTATACTTGTCTCTCCTGTTTACTGCTTTTACATGAATAAACAGCCGAACAGATTGTAATGGAATCTGCGTGTAGATAGAACATATCACGAGGATAGATATAGATTATATTTTAACTTAAAAAATGGCAAGAACAAAGTCGCAAGTTCAACCAGACATAAATATAAATGTAGTGCGGAACCGAACCGGCGACCATCGGAAAGTACAACTAAGCTAACCCGCTAGACCATCGAGGTCGTCAAACTATGAATCACTGACGAGCCGGATCTAATTTTCCTCAATTATCTACTAATCTCAATATTTATGAAGACCCGTGTATGAATACATACATGTATACGATTTCAACGCGAATGATTCATCTCCAAATAGGTACAGCTTTAATATAAATTTATGTTATACTACCATACTACCTGTACACGCGGTTTCATCCGCGTTAAATTTCCAAAAAAAATTATAGCCTATGTATTATTCTGATGCGTAAGCTATATTACTGTGAAGTTTTATCAAAATCTGTGCAGTATTTTTTGCGTGAAAGAGTAACAAACATCCATACTCACACACTTTCACATTTATAATATTATTATATTAAGATAAGATATACATACAAAGAAATAAAATTGAGGTATCTGTTTCTAATTTCAAATTAACAGCTTTTCATTAAATGCATACAAAAATATAGACCGTACTTATAACAATAAGAACAATTACAAATTTTGTCTGTCTGCTTGCTTGTTCTTAATAATCTCTAAGTAAGTGATTATATTTCATCTGACTTCGCAGACAGATACATAGAAATATCTAACGGCTGAACCTATTTTAACGGGACTTTCACTCGCAGATAGCTAATATTATAAGAAGTAACGTGCCGTACTTTATTTTAAAAATTGTATTTATTTTAATAAAACAAAAAGGTTACATTTTAAGCTGACGATGTCGCAGCTAAAGTCTAGTACATATTTATATATATAGTTAAGGTAGATAAGCGAAACGTAGTTATCATTCTTCCCGCCCGGGGGTTGTTACTTGTTTTTTCAGCGCCGTAGAACCTTTAATGGGGCTCGATA